CAAAGTATGTCTTATCCATTTTCCCCTGGAAGCTATTTGCAAGTAAATATATTTGTCTGAGTATTTGACCCAGTCCACATCCCTGATATGAACCAGACAGTGAGCTGTTTGTATTCATATAACTAAAGTATGAGGAAATACAATCATGCAGCCAAAGACTGAATTGACTTAATCTGTCCCAATAGCAATAGAAACTGGTAATAATGGCACCTGTTGAGTACTGTGAAAAGTTTGTTCATTATTTGCCTGGATTGTGCCCAAGAAAGGTCTGCCACCTTCTTAAGCAAAAGCGTCAGGAGCTGCTGAGAAAATCCTGACAGCTATTTGGGGGATTTGAAAAAAAGATATTATTAAAGACTCTGTTAAGTACCAGAATGGATAAAATTGGAACAGAATAAATCAATTGGAAGATTGTGAGAAATCACTGGATCTTCATATCTTCACATTGGATCTTCACATTTATAAGTGATTTACTAAAAGTAGTTAAGACTTTTCAGAATAAAATAGTGCCTTTCAAATCTCATTCTTGTTGGACTAATCTAGGTGACATGAGGTTCATGAAGGAAGCCAAAAAAATCAACTATGCTGGAAGAAGATAGATAATGGGAGTGCCAGGTTCTTCTTTTTGTAAAAGAAGTTCTTCAGATCTGCCATAATGAACATTTCCACCTGCCCTACTCTACGTGGTAATCAGATAAGTGGATAAAATGCCTTGTTATGTTTTTCTATTATTCTACTGAGGAAATACAACACCGAAAAATGTTACAGCAAGAAATATTGCTTGAGGGAAGAATCTTCAATAGTTCATTGGTTTTCCCAACACATTTGTTCTGAAATTATCAAAGGGGATTCAGAAATCATTCATTATTAGGTGGAACCCAAAAAATATCTCATTACTTTAAGCTCTGGTAGAAGTATGTGGGTTTCCTTTATCCTCCCCTTTCTACTCCTTTGTTATTATTTGTATTCAGGCTATAATATTTCTTTATTTTGAAGGCTTAATTATAATTTTTATTGACTTTTCTGTGAATGTATTTACAGGCAAGGCAAGACAAGATTTTAACAGTGGCTTGGGTCTCTTAATTCAAGGACATCTTTCCAACAATAGCATACTCTGCTCAGACTGAATTTAGACAATGTCAGTTTTCTGATAATAACAGATTTATAATTGATGTTCTTGGTTTTCTTCAAAATAGATAAGAATCAGCAACTGTAGATCAGTTGAACACAGAGAAAACCTTGACAATTTATTTTGGGTTTCTGCAAAGCTCTATTGATTGATATAATGCGTTCAGCTAAGAGATATTAATGGTGTACTTTCTTTTTCTTTAAATTTATGTTGAGGTACACTCAACAATTTTCTCTACCTCCTTTTCTCTTTAATTTGGTTTAGTGCTCCTTGTCTACATAAGAAAATTCTAAAAATATCACTGTAATTAGAGATGATCATGAGGCAGACATAAAAGACACTGATGATGTTACCTAGTGGGGTAATGAAACTTCTGCAGCCATGCTCAGAGTGCACTAAGGATTTCAGACATAAAAGATTATATTAGAGGTTTCATGCATAAATTACCAAATGTTTTCTCTTATGCCATTAGTATGTGAGACTGAAATCCAATCTAGTTATTCAATAAACTGGAGTAAATTGGAATTGATGCTACTTGATCACAGTAATAATTTGGAAAAGTAAAGAATTAAGTTATGTTCTCAATACATTACCCTGAAAATGAATTTTGAGGAACCCCTTTCAAGTGATAAGTTTGATAAGTTTAAACTATTCTCTGTTTTGATGGAAATAAAAGTCTAAATTTAGATTTTAGACTGAGTTAGTCTCAGTTAGTCTACTTTTAGTCTTAGTTGTCTAAAATTCCAGAGTATTTGGGTAAGATAAATGCAGTTAATATGAATATAACTCCATGGTTGATTTAGAGTCTGACAGATTTCCTCATAATTATTTCATAACATTATTTTAAACAAATGTACAAAATATTGAATACAGAAATATTTTCATTGCAGAAAATAAGATTACCAGTTAAGGATTTAACTTTTATGCTTCCATACTTATCATGAGGCATTGATCTTAGCTTTGCTAACTGTCTGAACTGAAAAACTTTAAAATTCAGCTCTTCTTGGGGTTTCTTTTGAGGTTTATAATTTGACCCCACTGAAGTCTTGGCAAATACTGGGATTCCTATTTGTGCGGGGATGAGTCTTCATAGTTGTAATTAATTAAAGATTAAGTCACAGATGTAAATTTGACTCATATATCTATGGGAAGCTTATATGCTAAGATAACTATAAATTAAAAAATAGCATATAAATCTACTTTAGGTAAGTGTGGCTTTTTTGTGATAAAACTATTTCGGATCTACTGTTTGATTGACTTCAGAGTATTCATCTTCAATATTTGTTATTAGGCTTATTTGAATCCAATCAGAATTTCTGCTTTTAAAGTTTCACAACATTTAGAAAGAATTATCAGCAGTTCTGAATGAAATATCTGTACCTTTTGAGACAGTCATTTTATTTCAATTTGAAATGTTGAGATAATAAAATAATGACCATTAGAATAATGTGCTTGAATGGCCTATTCTGCTAATTCAGTGGAAGACTGAAATTAATTTTCTATTTTTTTAAAAAAAAAGTTTTAAAGAAAAAAACCCCACCCCTGGTTGCAATAAACCTTCTATGGGAAATGTAATTTTAGATTTGAAATGTTAATTTACCTGACTTGGTCTTATTCCATTATTATTGTATTTAAAGCAGACTCAAATAGTTATATGTTCAAGAAGCATGTGTCCTTATCTAAACTGTTGGGCAAATTTGGAATCTATTAATATTGCTATTCAGCTAAAATATTATACTTGACACAAAAATATTGCAAAAATAAAACTATATATGCTTGTGGTCATGACTTTTGAAAAAAATGATGAGATATTTTTTTTGTTTAAAACAGTCTCAAGATTTTTCTTAAAATTTCCCACATTTTATTACTATGCTTATAAATTTTGTCATTGTGCTGCTCTTTTAATCATGTGTATATTTTAACTTTACTAGTTTCTGTTTTAAAAATTTAATTTATATTATTCTGAAATATGGGTAATTGGTGGGTTAATAAATATTGGATTTTGAGACAGTTTCATGTTGATTCCCAGGAAAGTTTGTGAGCAAATCTAAATGCACATACCCTCATATTTGGAGGTATATAAATTATATAATATAAACTATATTTCACAAGCAGTATAATCTAGAAGAGGGCTGTCAAACTTTCAGCCATGGGTTGGATGCGTCACACGCTGGCCACACCCATGCCTGATTTAGCAAAGGGGAAAAAGTCCAAATACATCATGTGATGCCACCATGACATTCTGAGTTTGACACCCCTGATCAGCATCTCTTTTGATTTATAAAGAAAAATGAACTTTTCACCTTAGCAAAAATATGTGTATGCAATTTACTATTTCGGGCAAGTAATTTTCAAAATAAAAAAGATGATATGTTTATGCATTAAGAATATTACTTTAAAAATAGCATGTATGCTTTAAATCTAGGTGTTGCAATGCATGGCAAAAATGGGTAAATATACATTTTGAAAAACCCTGAAAATTGCATGAATCAGACTTTTGAAGTGAATCCAGCCCTGGAAAAAATATTAAGCAGTGGAACTTTAAACTATTAGAATTGCCCCACTTATACATACCCCAAAGATCTCCAAAATTAAATAAATATAGCACTTGATCTCAGTTTTGTTTTGATAGCCAAAGTTCCCTGGTTTGTTTATTTCATGGAATCATTTTAAGGGTGTAATTTACCTTGATAAATACATGGATGCACCACAGGATTTTCATCTAAATGAAATAAAATTAAACAAATAAATTAAATAAAAATAATTTATCAGATGCTTTCTTGAAACTACATGGAGACAAATCATTTCCAACTTATTCAGCTGAGTTTAAATCATTCTTGTAACAGACTCAATGAACAGTGAGGCATGAAAGAAAATCTGACAGATAGCTATGCAATACGCTACCACTGAAGTTCAAAATGAAATCCCAACCAGTATGAAGAAAGTGGGGGGAAAAACAGGTTTACAAAATAGCTCAGCAAAGTATTACTCTATGGCATTACATTGTTAATAAAATTTCTTTATCTGAAACTATAATTTAATATTCATGTATCTAATTTACAAGTGACAAAGTAACGTACTCTAAAATCAGAGGGTAACCAGCAAAATACTGCAAACAATACGAGAAAAAGCACAACCAAAACATTTCTTAGTAACTCAAAATATGCAACTTTTAACTGGGGAATTATTTTAGTTGTTGATGTCAATTGACACATAGGTGTAATTATAGCCTGAAAAAAATTATTACAGTGGACATCGCTTTTTGTTGTTATTACTGTTGTGGAAGGAGACTTGTGTATATATATATAAAGTCCAGGCATATACTACTGCAGTTTTGCTTACTAATTTAGTTGGTATAAATGCTTGACATTTATAATTAAAGTCTACTCATCTGATTTGTTTTTCGGTCAACTAAAATGCATTTTCCCCCAATATTTTGATGCTTAACAGTGAAAAAATGCACTCAATCTAAAATTACAGTTGAATGTTAGACTGAAGGTTCCTTCTCCAAATATTAGCGGCCTATGAAAGTGTGCATTATCCTGAAATCAAAAAGTTATGTGCATACTAAATAAAACAGAGCAACTACATACTGAACAAACAGTGAATTGTAACAAAATCAACATGCACTAACTCTACTCTTATGCAAAATTAATATCTTTCAGAAAACTGCATCCAACCTTTGGCCTTCCGCAAAGGTATAAATTTTGTTCCTTCATCACACATGGATTTGTGTTTTCAAATCCCAGTTTTTTTAGCCCATTGTCACAAAATGTGCTGCTCCGCTGCTATAAACTTTGGCTGCCCTCAGGCTCCAAAGAATCTGTTTTTTACAGTCAGCAATCCTCAAACAAGTCATATCCTTCATTTCTTATTCATCATCTTCTACTTCCTGTGGTAAAATGGGTGTTTCTTCCTTTAAACAAGCACTAAAAAAGTTGAGAATTGTGCTATAAAGGTGATATTTGCTCTTCTCTGATGTAATGTAATGACCTTCATCTGGATAGATCTAGGATAGGAAAAGTAGAAATAAATAGATTTTAAAAAACCAGTTGACAAGTTTTCAAATTCATTTGTATCAACATAAAATTAATGCCTCAGACAATTATTGTGGTTTCATTGAAAACATCTAAATTTCAAAACTGAAGTATATTTATTTTATCATTTAAACCAGGGGTTTAATCTTCCCAAGGGGCTATGTGAGAAATGGGACTATTATGAAGGGCCAAACCAATGTATTGATGTCCTCAAACTCATCTCATGTCCTCTTCAGCTGCTCCAGGTAAGGTATGAGTGCTTTGTAGATGCAGAAAATGATTTCTCTCCTCACCTTTCCATGGCCATTAGTCAAATGAAGGAGCATATGGTGACTGTGCAGAACCGGACCCAGCTTAGCTTCTTCTCCCACCCCCATAGCACCCTTACGCTTGATTTCTAAATTCCAATTGATCTCATATGAATTGGACAGGGATAGTCAAAGGGTTGGATGTGGCCTGGGGCCTGTAATATGCCCAGGTCTGATTTAAACCATCATTTTACAGCCTGCACAAAACACTTCTAGTATTTTATTTTTTAAATGTTTTTGTTTAAAATGGCATTCCTTATTTAAATTTTCAAGATTTAAGGGAAATATATTGTAATCCATGAAAAAATATCATTGTGCCTCTAAATATTAAAAGCAGGATGCCAAATAATTACAATTTTCAAACAGCAATGGGTCTCCAGCTCAAAAACAATTTAATTTCAGGAAACTCTGATTTTTACCAAATCTGTGTACAATTCTACTGCTGGATCTGTGGCAAATGTAGAGGTTTTTCAGGCAATAGACTACTACTATACATTGCTTTCACTGTTCGGTTTAACATTTCTGCCTCTATTTACTACATCTATCATCATAAGCAGAAGTCCATTAGTACAATAGATATTTCTCATTATATTCTGTTCATGTCTCAGATTTGTCTTGGAAAATATTTTGATGAAAAATATATAGAATGCTATGAAGGCAAATATTTCAAGTTTTAAAAGTATGGTATAAGATTATTTCAGTGTTAATTGTGGCAAAAACTGGTAAAAACTAAATATTATACATTTTATAATTTATATTCTGGTCTTACTATTGCTTAAATTATTGATTTTTTTTCTTTCTCTGTTATTGGGTCTAATTTGAGTAAAATAATTCTCAAAGATATTTAAATTATAGTTAGGAATATATAGTCACACATCCAGGCTTTCTAGACAAAGATGTATTTTAAATACATGCAAGAAAGAGCATAAGAAATATTCTAAACCTAAAAAGATGCATAAGTTATGACATTCCTAAATATTACATACCTGCATAGTATAATTCACTCCGGCTTTTATTAGATGTTTAATTAATTCTGCTGAGTGCTGAAAATGGACTTTAGCTGTGAGACAACAACATCCAAGTGTTAGTGAAAGGCATTATTAATATCAAACAGTTTCTGCAAATTAGCTCAACATTGTCAAGATGTTAGTGAAAATGTTTTTCTGTTTGTTAAGTATAATATCATACTCTTTCCTAGAAATTTTACAGTTTTTATTTTATAAGAAAAGTACAGCAGAGGGACTATAAGTACTGTACGTCTCATCCTCATTTACATTGTGTATCTCTTTGGGGAGTTTAGTTGACTGTGAAAAACTCAGTTGATGGATTTGTGAGGTACTTTAAACAATCTTCAGTGCAATCCTGTCCATATCTGTTGTGAATGAAAACCTTCTGAATTCAACAGGACTTATTCCCAGGTATGTACTGTATTTATATGGCATGCCTATTCAAACTGCAAGTAAGATAGCTGTACTTCAACCATATTGCTATTGTGTGTATAAAACATTCTGAAGAATATTGTATAAGAGGTATTATGTCTCAAATATTGGCAAGGTTCAAAACATTTTTGAATGTGTAAGTGCTGGCATATGCAGTTATAACAAAGATAAGTTGGTTCTGAATTCTGAAGTATAACCTAATTTTTAAACTAACTTTTCCTTTTTTTATACCGTTTTCAGTTTTTCTACCACCTTCTGAAATGTTATTTTGGAAACATTGTAAACAGGTATTTTACAATGATACAGAGAGTAATGATCCAGTCTTTTGACTTGTCTGGATGGTGTCAAATGACTTGGGCCACATATGCCTTTATTTTTAATATTTGTATTGTCATGTGGACCTGAACATTACTAGCTGTCTAGGGCTGCATGCAGCCCAGGTGTCACAGATTGGACATGCCTGATATAAAGGAAGGCAGAAACTGCATTTAATAGCCCACTTCAGATAAATTGATTTTATTTTTCTTTAAGTGTATATTTTTAAATATGATTTTGATCAAATGAACTTTGGTTTGATTAATACATTCCCAAGTTTAATTAATACATTCTCAGAACTGTCTAGTTTTGTTTGAAGAGGTTTTTAGCTACTTGTTAGAAGCATACAGAAACAGAAAATGCAAAATTGCAAAATTGTCACACAGGAACGAATAAGAGGCAATACACCTACACCAATTATTTTAATTCCTTTACATCTAATTGATCACAGAAAGGGGAAGTCTTGGTGGTTGGAAGCAAGGTGGGGATGAATCTTCAAGTCTGACCAAGAAGGACAACAGAAGAGTTTGAGCAGGATAAGATCTCAGTCTTTACACATGCAGAAATATCAAACATTTTCCTGGGCCCGTTTTCCCCTACTGCCTCATTATCTTCTCTCATCTCCAAAACACAAGCTGGTGATGCTGTTGCCGAAAAAATGGGGATTAAAAAACTGTCCCTTTTACTTTTCATGGGGTGACAAGGTTCTTTGATTCCTGAAGTTAGTTGTAATAATGGAAAGTGCCTATTGTTATAATCCACAGTTTTGCTTAACATTTAATCTGAATGTCAGGTAATATATTTTAATAAAACTGAAATACTTCTTGTATGCTGAAAGTTCAGAGACAGCTACAGCTGAATGGTAAAGAAAGCGTGTATTTAGCATGAAAAATGATGAATTTAGAAAATTAAGAATCAAAGCCTCTCTCCCTCCCTTCCTTCCTTCATCTTTAATTTGTAATTTCCAATTTCGCTCTTAGGGAAGTAGTTTAAGAAACTAAAATATTCTTGTGAAAATTTTCTTGGTAAAATGCACCGGATATATTTTTATTATCTATCCTCTATGGTATTAGGGGAAAAATATTGTGAATTTTTGTTTTGTTTCATAACTATGGGCTTCTATAAATGAAAAAAACTCTGGATAGGCTGCTATTTTCTACAATGATTCAACAGTTTCCAAATGTATTGTGCACTTTTCAACTCTCCTGCCTGGAATGCCTAAGCACTTGTTTACTTTAGGCAGTGCTGCCTGGTAAAGCAGCCACATTGGCCACAAAGAAAAAATATGTAACCTAGTATGCAGAAATGTAGAAAAGCTCACTTCAAAGATACAGCCAGGTAGCCTCATCAAATGCCCAGGAAGAGTCTTACTCATTTGTATATTATTTATATTTCTTACACTAAGCATTAAACTTCATCCATTTCACATACTGCATTTCTATTGCAATCTCCCCTAATGTAAGAAGAAAGAATGCCTGAAGCATTGAATACAGAGAAAACATATAGAAGTGGGAGATAATGATCCTTTGATGACTCCCTCCCATAGAATCCCCGTGTCAGATATGAAAAGCTCAATCTTTCCACAGCTCTGTGAAGCAGGCCTGTAATGGGCATACAAGCTGAAAAAGATAATGAAGATGAATACAAAGGTAGGCAGCCCAAAGAAAAAGAGCAAAGAGAAGAAACAGTGACATAGAGGTGCGGTGCAAAGATTTATTTTGCAAACAGACTCACAGGGCTGAATGGAAGCCATGAAAAAAAACATAGCCTATCTTAATTAGGAAATTTCAGTAATCTAGCTATAAATGTATGAAGAAGGTCAAATTGGTACTTACAAATTTGTTCTACCTTACACAATTTGCCAGTGGCAGAACAGAAATAATTTAAGTGATGATTAAATGTATTATTAATTCATGTTGCTTTCCAACAAAGGCTCTCTGCATTTCACAAAGTTTAAACAAATTGTTTAAACAAGAGTAGTGTCACCTGTTTGGGCAGGAAAGTATCAATGAAATCTCACAAAGGATCTCTAAGGGTAGACAAAACCAATTATTATAAAGCTCCCATATGCTCACAAATGTGCTTCATGCTTATCCTTCCCTGAACTTCTGCAGAAGACAAACAGCATCTAGGAAAGTGCTTTTGTGTAAATACTCACTATCCGCTGTCCCATGGGTGATTAATAAATTTCCTTCCTTAAAGCCATGAATATTGTGAAATACGCTGGATGCCTTTTGGAAAGGAGAAAACAGGTACATCTTGTTATTGATTTGCATTTCAAATACCTCCAGCACCCCATCCAGAACCATAGTATCTCTTACTCACTTGGTAAGCATTTTCTTCCTTAGATGGATTGCCCAGGTATCTTTCTGAAAAGGCAGATGCTGTACATAGGAAATAGGAAAACTTAATAACTAATAAATTACTTTTGGATGAGCGTATTAACATGGTATGGCCAATAATATTTAAGTTTTGCTATGGAACCCAGTGGAGATGCAGACTATCCTCAGAAGAAAACAAAATCTCCTGGCTCATCATCCAACATGATCTCATTTGAAGCCTTCTGAATGACATCCATCCCATCAGCAGGCAAAGCGGGAAGCAATATGCAGACATTTTGATTACTTCTGTTTCTGAGGGTTCTGTTATGGGGCAGCCATCGCTATGTGATATGGAAAAGTGGAAAAGCACTAAGGGCAGACACACACACACCGTTTTAAATGCAGATTTATTTATATATACTAAATCTGATTGTGCTGCTTTTTTTTTTAAAGCAGGCACCTTCTGAGCGAACTGCCTGCATCCCTAATATTATATAATGTCTCAGCTGCAGTAAAGGAAGGGAAAACGAGCTACCTGTGGAATAAACTGAATGATACAACCCACTTACCATACAGCCGCATGTCTGTAATTGGTGCAATCACAGCTCCACACTTGAAAAGTTTTTCGTTGGACTTCAGAATCATTGATGCAAGGTAACCTCCATAACCCTAGGAAACAACTGATATGAGTTATAATGTGCTCATTATTGCCCTGATGAGACTATTCTTTCTTATCCATGTCCCCACTTTTATATTTATTTCTATGATTTGTCTTATGCTTCTGTAGGCATAAATCAAGATTTTTTTTTCAAAATATGACAGAGGATGCTTTGCTTCAGCATACAGTTTGAAGAAGGTCCAATAATATATCCCGTATTTTACTGAAATGCTTGTACGCCATTATTAAACATACACAAGATGAATTACTGTACCTCTTTAATCATATTCATTCATGTAGAGTACTACAAAGCTGATGTTAATCAATCATGTTTGTTTATCTTGTGCAATCAGAAGTGGCCATACAGCTCTGAGTTAAATTCTAAAACTTTGTACCAGTGAGCAAAATAAATTCTTTCCTTCAGCAGTCTACTGGGCAGGAAGGAAGAAACCCAGAAAGTGGAAATGAAAAAAAAAATCAATTGAAAAAGTATTGACCTCACTTTTGTTTTGCTCCTTCGCAGTATTAATATATCACCACAGATATGAGAGTGCTACTGATTCAATAATCACATGCCTCTTGTTTTTGATTCAGAGAACTATGATGCTATTGGGTTGCTAATGGATATTCAGAGCAGGATGAGCTTAATGCAGCCTAGGACAATCAATTTAACAAGGGGAAGAAACATTTTGTGTGTGACTCGGAACACTTCAGACTGAGAGAAGGTTGCAGCTCAAACACATGTGGGAATGCTCCTCTGTTTGTTAAAATCATACTTGTAGAAAATGAGCATATACTTAAAAACTATAGATCAGGAGTGTAAAACTGGTGCATCAGGTGCAAGCCACACCAGAGGTGCTATTCAGCAGGTTCTGACAAGTTCTGGAGAACTGGGAGAGGAAATTTTGAGTAGTTTGGAGAACCGGCAAATTCCACTTCTGACTGGAGATTTTACAGTATTCTTTCCCTGCCATGCCCACCATGTCACGCCCACAGAACCAGTAGTAAAAAAATTTGAATCCCACCACTGGGCCACATCCATCCCAGCTCTGCAAAGGGAAAACATCTTGAAACATCATGTGATGGCAATGTGACATGGCAAGTTTGACACCTGTGTTATAGATCCTTTTTACTTACTTACACCATTCTCAGACAAATAATACAATTATCTATATTGGTGTAAACACAGAAAGTTCCAAGATTGCTATAAATAAATGTTTCTGAACAGTCAGTGGGATTTCAAGAAGGTAAATCATTAGTTTTTCATTAACAAATCAGTTATGATAATCAGATATATAAATATAAAATAAACATCAAGTCTGCCAACTCTAGTATCTGTCTAAAAATATAAAATGTATTTTCTTTTCTTTAAATAATTAATGTTTTGTAAAATACTGAACACTTTATATTTTATATATTAATTCACAGCAGAATATTTTATATAATGTATACTTTCATGTCTTGTAGATTTTCAACTACAGATGTTCAGTTAAATATAAGCATGGAACAGATTTAATATTTTTATATTTACAATAAGTTTATTAATATGAATACATTATAAAAAATTATAAATGACATTTTAAAATTGATATGGCTATTCCAGAAGTAGGTTTTTCAAAAAACAGATGTCATCTTTTTTCTTCTTCCATTCTTGCTAAAAAGAATAATAGTTTCTAACAGTAATTGTGCAAGATGGAATTGGAGAACTGTTTTTATTTGTTTATTTATTCATTTAAATTTATATTCTGCTCATCTCACTGAAAAAGTAATTCTCCCTTCCTCACTCTAAGTTACTCAAATAAATATTCAATTCAATTAAATTCGGTTAAATATTTAGTGTATTTTAGAGCAGCGATTAGCAAATGAGAAAAATGTATTAAATTACTATGAACATCTATGATTCTAAATATTTTATTTAGGTCACATACAGAGTCATGGCCAACTGTTTAAAAAGATTATTTCTACTGATACATTAAAGACAGCTGCAATACATGTCTATGTATTGCAGGGAAGATGAGCCTTCATCTTCCCTGATGAAGAGTTTTGAACAAAAGCTTGTATTTTGTTTTGTATCATGTTGATCTTAGAAAAGTACTACTTTCCTATGGATTTTGGAATTTTCCCAAGGAACAGCAATGATTCTTAGTGTTGAATATATACTGTAAAGAATATATTCAATACTAAGGTATTTCTTAATTGAAATTGTCACACATTTGGAAATGTACTCCAAACCATTGATAATAACTGAAAGTTACTGCTGAATATTGGAATTAATATTTTTTTTTTAAACTGAATGGTATTACCTCCTTTGTGTCTGGGTTGGGCAGAGGAGCTGACAACAGGTGGGAGGTGAAGAAGGAACAAGAACAGGGTTGCATTCATTATATGAGTTGTAAATAAGAAGGACATAAAGAGTAGATAAATTAAAATTTTTCTCCCTCTTATGACTGAAAGAAGCAAACATCAGCATCTGAAAACTTGGTGGTGAAGGTTGAGAAACTGAGATACATTGACATGGCAGTAAAAAATATTTTTGCTACAGGTGAAACCATTTGTCTGGGTCATCTATTTCTGCCAGAGGCAACAGAATACAACAAATGAGAGACTAACTAAGGATATCATGCACAGATGGTAGAAAAAGGGGGTTACTTAGAGCACATTGGACTGTAAGTGACTATGCATGTAAAATATGAATTTAATAGGACATTTAATAGCCAGCTACTGCTACATTTTTCCAAGCCATTAATTTGGTACAAGAATATCAAAGCAAATGTAATTGCACAAATCTTCTGTATTGGGGCTATAAAAGTGTGGTTCTGGGTGCACACAAGTACACATAGAAGCCCTGTGGGAGCCCTTAAGCACCTCAATCCTAACAATAGTTTGTGGAGGTTAGCTGAACCTGGGAAAAGGTGCAGCAGTGTTAAAGTAACCCTGAGAAGTGCTGCCTGGGCAGTATACAGTCCAAATTGCATTTGCCCTTTGAATCTACGCTGGGAACCAGGAGTTATATATTGTGGCTTCTGTTTGTTTTTAATACTTGTAAGCATTGTCAGCAAAATTTGGCTGAAATATTTTGTTTGTATTCACTTATTTATGATATATCTGGCTGTATGACATGCATATGAATCTGGGTAGAAATCATAGCCTAAGGACACAATAAAATATAAAACAACACAAAACAAAGCCTACAAGGAATTATCAGTTTAAATGGCAATTGAATCTGGAAACTACTGTTGTTAATGAATGGTTGTAGCCCAATGATTACCTGTAATAGACATGGGGCGGGAAACCCCATGGGAAACACACAACTTAACTCCACTGTATCCACCATTAAAGGGAGCCTTCTCAACCCATTTAGGCCTGGGGACACAACCAATTTTTCAGAGATTGCTTGGAGGTAGGCAAGTTGAGGAAAGTTTAGTACAGGTTTCTGGACAGCTACCACAATAGTGATGTTCATTTCAATAGTGCTATTTAACTGATAGGATCAAGAAGATGCAAACACCATAGGAAACTAAACCCTATGCCATGTAGGCCTTTATAGGTTATAACCAGCATTTTGAATTGCATCAGAAGCCAACTAGAAACTAATACAATTTCATAGCAGAGGTATTACATGGGTCTAATGAGGCTTGCCTATCATTGCTCATGCTGCTGTATTCACACAAGTTGCAAGTAAGGTAATGTTACCCTATTCAGAGCTGAATGGAAAATCCCCAGAATTGGGAGGACCAAATATCTAAAGCCATCTGGTCTTTGCGGGGGCTAAGTTACATATTAATATGGAAAGTAGTGTTGAATGGCATTAATCAAGGTTTGCTCTTGGCTCTGTACGGTTGGTAAGAGATACCAACTTACAGTACATTGTCAAGATGGAATGGGATTTTGAAAGTTGAGAAGAATAGATAGAAACTAGAATGAAACATATAAAATGAAAATTTCTATATAAGAAAAAAAGAATCAAGAGTATAAGTTTAGGATTGAGGGGACTATACTAAAGAGAAATTCATGTAAAATGATTTATATATGTTGGTGAATCTTAGCTCGAATGAAACCTTCCAGACAAAACAAAACACTAAGTCAATTCTAGGTTTCACCAAGAGTAGCAGTACAATATTGTTATCAAAAGAAGTTGTGATTTCTTTCTAATCTGCCTTAGGAAGGTCACAACTAAAACGCTGCATGCAGTTCAGGGCATTACATTTTAAGAATGACACTGACAAACTGGACCATGTTCAAAGTGGAACAATCAGCAGGGTAAAGGGCTTAAAGGGAATTAAAAGAAAACAAAGAAGAAAGGCCTGGAGAAAAAGCCTGCAAGAAGACATGATAGTAATCTTTAAATATGTACCAAGTAGGACAGAATTATTCAGAGCAATTTCAAAAGACAATAGAAGAAACACTTTAATAAATTACAAAGAAACAGAGTGGAACATCTGGAAAATTTGTACATGCTACAAACTACTCAATACTAGAACCAATGGTGGGATTCAATTTTTTTTTACTACTGGTTCTGTGGGCATGGCTTGGTGGGCGTGGCAGGGAAAGGATCGCCAGTCAGAGGTGATATTTGCCGGTTCTCCGAACTGCTCAAAATTTCTGCTACAGGTTCTCCAGAACTGGTCAGAACCTGCTGAATACCACCTCTGACTAAAACAGATGGACTTGGGAGATGATATTTATTTTGACTGTACTTTTCTTGTTTCAGTCTAGGCAATTCATTCTTCTTTCAAGATTTGCCAGATGAAATTCAATTCTGACATGACTGAATTCAATGACCCCAAATTTCGCATCACAAGTATAAACTTTTCACATCCTTGATCTTACAATAAATGATCTTTTCTTCCCATAACTTATCTCTTAAATACTTTATAAACAAATCCATTAACCATAGTCATTTTAGTTGTGGTGTCAGCAAAAGTTCATTAAGGGTTACCAGATATAATATGATATTTATTTTAACCTTGATCAAATAAACTAACTTCAATTTTCTTCCTTTTATTTATAACAATGTTGATCTTTAGTCTGTCAAAATAATGTCCTAGAATCTGATTTCTTTTCTTTCTTTTTCGTCCCTTCTCTTGAGACTGTTTAAAGCTTTAGTTATTTTTTTTATATAAGTCCAACATAGAAAAATGATCCAGGCTACTATCTGGTTGTTTGTATAACCCTTTTAATTATTAAAACTTAAGTCAGTTTCATTTCTTTGTCCAGTTTAGCATCTTTTCCATTGTAATTCTTGTATTCATTGTATCTTTTTAAAATCCACTTTGAATGCTGTCTTTCAGATAAACCTTGCTCCTCTTCCACTTCATCTTTTAGACACTGTCTATCCATAGAGGCAGATATCATTGTTGACATTGTTAACATTACTTTCTGATTCAATTTTTTCAAAAAATATCATTCAATATTTCCAGTTTTGGAATATTTTGCACCGTTATATAACTGTTAGTCAAATTTATGTGTTCTCTTCTTGAAATTGAAATAATTAGTTTCTTTTAGTGTTTTTTTTAAATCAAAACAAAATCATTTTCCCATGGAAAAGATTCTTTATAATTAATTCCAAAATCTTAAATTCAAAAATTTCAAAAATTTAAGTTTTAATCAACCTTTGCTGTTTACTATTTTTTAAAAGGTTTGTATGTTAAAATGTTCTTTCATTAAGGGCTAAAGGCAGACTTACACCTTCAGATTTGTTGATCCAAAGATTTCTAAAAGCTGAAAAGGAGATAATAAGCAATTTATGAATGTGATTAGAAAAGGAAGTACGTAAACATAGTGTCTTTTTAAAGACACCAATCATGGTTTGAGCAAGATCACTATTTCCTTGTTTCTCAATCTCAAAACATACTGGAAACCACTATCTTGCAAGCTTCTCATGAGCAGCACTTATGGATAATCCAATATCCTCTTTTTGTCTGGAAAGTTTCAAAGAGATGATTGTGTTCATTGGCTCCACTTGTTTGAAGAGCTGTGTTCAGTCTGTCACTTTTTCTTTCAGAAACTCCTTTACTTTCTAAAAACAGTTTTATTCAGAATCTGACCTTTACAGCACACAGCAACAACATAAAGACACTTTTAAAGTACACCATGGTTACTAGTCAAAAAATCTGCTAAGATAGCCAAAAGCAAAATAACACTTTCCATCTCTGTCTCGTATTTATTTCTTGATATTTTGAACCAGGATTCTCAAGTAGATTTTGTGCCAAATTCACATGAGCAGACTAAATTAATCCAAATAATCAGACTCATTTAAGAAAACTTGAATGTAAAAGCAGAGTATCACCAAAATTATTTTTCCTACAATTAGTTGAAGCTAATTAAATAACTAAATGGTAAAAGCTTCAAAAATGTATAGCATTCTATTGACAGGTTGCAACATCTTATTCATTTAATAAAATTACCTTGCCAAAGATGCTCAGTCTGTTACCATCAATAAATGATTGCTTCAGCAAATATCTGTAATAGAGAAGGTAACATTACCCCAAAACAACAACAACAACCCCATGCTTGAGCAAAGTTTTTTCTGTATGTAAAGAATATATGTGCTTGTCTATTTGTTTGTCTTCTGCTTATCCACCTACTTCTCTACCTGGTGCACTGGAGTATAAATTCCTTCTTGATTGAATTAGACTGCTAAATTGTCACTATCTTCAAAACTGTGAATTCCATCATATAAGACATTAATCAGATATGGTGTAAATAGCTATTTTGACCCTAGGTAATTGCAATAGCTATCCCAGCATGGGATTTGATTAAAAATATAATAAAACTATAAAGTATTGCAGTACACTGGCTGCGTTTATATGTTTTATTAAGATAAAACTAAGCAGTATAAATAGCATGCACTGTTTGAATCTGGTTAGGACCTCCCTGTAGCAAACACAAAGCAGCTTTTTTGATCTTAGTATTCTCCTGGTGCTTTCAACACTCCAATCCCTTAGGACAAAGAACAAGATTACTTGGGAAATTAATCCTACTTTTTTTTTTTTAACACTGCAAATGGTACACTCCCTCCACAACAACTGAGGGCAGGAAGTTACTTTAAAGATCAAACCTGCTAAATGCTTTGTCCTCAAAGCAATGTCTTGGAATTAAGAAGGTGTAGTAAAGGACTACTTAATATAAGGCTGGCTATGATAAATCCATAAATTAAGTCTGACAAGAAAATGAAGAGAGTTCCTTTAGTGCGGAAATGTTTAACCCAGGGGTGGGATTCAAATTTTTTAACAACCGGTTCTGTGAGCGTGGTTTAGTTGGTGGGCATGGCTTGGTGGTCATGTGTCTGGGTGGACATGGCTTGGTGGTCATGTTATTGGCTGGGCATGGCCAACTCAATATTATCGAGGCATGCATCGAGGCATAGCCTCTCATGACTGTGGGGATGCTGCAACAGTCGTAAGTATGAAAAACAGTCATAAGTCACTTTTCAGTGCCATTGTAACTTTGAATGGTCACTCCATACAAGCAAAGTACCAGCAAAGGAGGGGGGAAAAACTCCAGAGAAGTTCCTGAGACAGGAAGTCTAGTCCTGCTAAGAATGTAATAAGGGTTAACAGAGAGGCAGTTTCTGTAAGCAACACCAGAATGTTTCCTTCCTGCCTTCCTTACAGGATTAGGCCAGTAATTTCTTCTAACAACCGGTTCTCTGAACTGCTTAGAATATTAACATCCGGTTCCAGCGAATAGGTGCGAACTGGTAGAATCCCACCCCTGGTTTAACCCCTGTTTTTAAATCACATGCAATTATTCAATTCATCCATATATCTATAGGTTGAAAACAGGACCAGATCTAATATACGTATTTTTTAAAAAATTACAACATTTCTGAAAGGACAGCAATCACAACTAACAATAAATCATTTTAAGGCACTAAAATAGATTTAGTTTTGTTGCAGCAGGACCAACATCATATGTTTGATAATAGATAATCTATTCCTTATATCTATGGGATTTAGAAGTAGTTTATTGTATTTCAATTATATACAATATCTGGAATGGATTCCATATCATGCAATACTTTTCTAGCAAAAATGTCAATTAGTGACTACAGACTGGTTAGACCAGGGGTGTCAAACTGGATTTCATCAAGGGCTGAATCAGCCTCGTAATTCTCCTCGGCGGGCTGACTGGGAGGGGGAGATGGGACGGATGTCCTCCTGCAGCACTTTGCCAGCCAAACCAGGACATGAGGTTCCCATGCGCAGCACCCCACCCAATTTTTGGCCTGGACAGCTTTTTGCAGCATCCTGCCAGCCAAAATGGGGCATGGGAGGCCACACATGGCCCCCACACCCAGTTTTCACTAGTGCCAAGGGCTGGTCCCTCGCTATTTACAGGCTGGCCTCATAGACCAGATTTAAGCACCCTGCAGGCCAGATCCAGCCTTGAGTTTGACAACCCTGAGTTAGACTAAACCTAAAAGCAGATTTGATGGTTTATTGAACTTTATTCCTCTGAAATAGTGCAGAAATTCCATTAACCCAATACGGTACAGATATAAAACACAATGCTTTTCTATCTGTGATATCAAAAGAAAGAATTTTTAAAAATGGATTAAAATTTTGCACATACGTACTCTACGGCTGCTATCTGGTCCTTCACTTCCACTGATCCTAGTGAATGGTGAACCTCTTGCAAAATCTTGAGTCCTTGAAATCCACTCCCTCTTCCATCAAACTGAGCTATGATGACATTATCAGAGTTGACAAGCACAGAATCCCAGTCAATGTGAAACTTATCTGTAACCAACTGACTGCCTGGAACTTCATCACTGTACATACCAAAATACCAGAGACAAAAAAAAATTGTCACGCATGTTCAAATTAATAATTTTTGTAGTCTAATTTATAGAGAAAGCATTAGATAATCCTTCTAAAATACTATTTATTTCATAGCATCACATTAACCACTGCTTACCCCTTATGGGAACAGTGAAGAAAAAAGTTTTTAAACTATACATAAATAAACGGTTGAGTTTAACATGGCATTAACTAATCTTATAGCTTTTTTTGTTTTGTTTTGTCTTTGGTGCTTTGAACAAAGCTCACAAGACTTGAGTCAAAGACCAAGGAATTTAATTTTCAAGCAAACATGGCTTTACCTACCTTATAGTAGAAAGGGAATTAATAATTAAAAATGGAATAAATTTGGATTGGATAAAAATAAAAAAAATAGAAATAACATCCAAGGAAGATTCATATTTGGGGAATATTGGGGGAAAATAAAATAGATAGAAATCTTAATGAAGTTAATTAATGCCTCAGGATCCAATCTGGGTCAGACCCTGGAGCCAGAGGTGGTGACTGACCCATATTATCCTGGGGAACGTACATTCACCTTCATTCTTAATTAATACCATTTATGTTTTATGATGTTTTCAAGTAAGCTACCCTTTGAACACTCATATTTTGTTTTATACAAGACATCAATGGAGAAGCAAGCAAAATAAAAAAATATCTGCTCATAATCCACTTAAGACGGCATGCTGATTAGTAAAACAATTGTGTATGTTCTCAGAATTACTGCACATGTGATGTAAAATCAGCATTTGGCTACGTATGAATGATGTGTGTAGTTCCCTTGCTGGATTCTCATATCTCATACATGTGCATGATATATGCATAATCATTGCATAACATCTTCTGTACAAGATTCAGAAGATACATTTAACTAACGATAAAGATATGCAACACATCTTCAAGATGCAGACATGTAGGTTAGATGATAAGCAATATTTTATCCGGCAAATATCTAGTGTAATAACTGATAAAGAGATGTTATTCTATTGAACTGACTTCTGCTCATGAGTACATGGGCCAGCATGTTCACTACCAATTTAAGTTTCAAAATCACCTTCAAAGGGAAGAAGAAAGAATTTTAGTAGCCAAAGAACTACTCCAAGTACTCCAAGAACAGTTATGTCTTGTATACTGTTAAAATTGGATAAAGCAGAGGTCTCCAAACTTGACAACTTTAAGAACTTGTGGACTTCAATTCCCAGAATTTATCTGAGGAATTCTGGGAGTTGAAGTCCACACGTTTTAAAGTTGCCAAGTTTGGGAACCCCTGGAATAAAGTAACCATGGCCACAACCTCCATTGTTTGAATAAGAGCTATGAGGCCAGGTCAGGAATTTGCTCATTGAGGGAGAGTACAATCCCATCCAGAGCCAAAGCTTCTAATAAATCTGATGGTTCCAGAAAAAAAAAGCGCATATTCTATCTCAGGATTTCTATCTCAGCCTGCTTCAAACTTTAAAAGCCTCCATATACCAAATCAATAGATCCATTACATTTTCTGAAGCTAAAGATGTAACCCTTATCTTTTGATGGCGGATTAATTCTCCCAGTGGTTTCATCAAATTGTTAAAAAAGATAGATATCTGGCATAGAGTATGACAGATTTCTTAAATGAAATATTTTAAAGCATCACTGAAAAAAATGGATTTGTGATTATAAGTGTAGTTTGAAAGCATAATCTTTAACTAAAACCAGTGTCTATGTAAATAATATAAATTAAGTCCCAATGATTTCAGGAAAGCTTAATCCTAATATGACAAAGTTGCCCCACAAAGCTGACATTTACCAAGTCTGTGCCTGAAGATACTAATTATGCATGCTTTATGAACTTATAGTGAGAAGAGGATTTAGTATAATTCAACTCTGCCGAAGCCAATGTAGCTTTTAAACAAAGAAAAGATAGCAATTACAGAGCAAAATGATGGACTTTAATTGGTACTCTTCTGTTATTAACAGTGCAGTCCCACATTCCTTAGTTATAAGGGAAAAATGAGACAGAATTATTCTACTCTACTCAGATTCCCCTAACCAGCTTGTTCAGACTGAAGAAGCTGCTTGATCGGGTTGTGAAATGTCTCAAACCAACATGAAAATAAGCTCAGTTACCAGGACTCAACTTCCAGATGACTGTCTGGATGACTGAGAATCTTCATCCCAAAGGTGCTTTTTCAAATGGCAACATTGTTCAAATGGCAGACATTTCACTTCTCCTCCAAGAGGTTTCTTTACTGACAGTGAGAACAATCAACCAATGGAACAGCTTGTCCTTGGAAGTTGTGGGAGTGCCATCACTTGAGACTTTTAAGAAGAGATTGGACTGCCATTTGTCAGAAATGGTGTAGGGTCTCCCGCTTGGACAGGGGGGTTGGACTAGATGACCCACTAGGTCCCTTCCAACTCTGATTATCTGTTAGTTCAACAGACTACTAAAGAAGCTTCTTGGAGAAGCAAAACCTCTTCAAGGAAAAAACAAGGTCCAGTTGTCTTTTGAAAAAGCACCATTGGGACAGCCATGACCTGGGTGACTGAGAATCTCCATAGAGAATCTTCATTGACACATGAAGGAACCTTTCCAGCATTACCTTTTTAAAATAAATTATGAATTTTTCTTGATTTGTATTTAATAATGTGGCATGCATAATATAATTTCCCAGTTAAACTTTTTTGTAGATATTATGTGGGGTTTTTTGTTGTTGTTGTTGTTGCAGTGGTAGCAAAAGACCAGTAGATATCTTTACCAGTAGGCTAAAACACAAATAGAAACACCAGCTTCTAAGAAGCATGAACGATAAGCAAAAACACAGTGAGTAGGTATGTTATTGATGCTATTTATGCTATCAGGGTGAAGCAAATAACTCTCTTGTATTGATTCCAGTTGGTGAAGAAAGGGCATAATTCAAAGAAGGGCATGAAAGTTAGGATGGTTGAATCTTGTACTTACTTTTGAAATATATAAACCTATTTTTGTCTTGATGACAGAATGCTTGTCTAAAAATAATTTTAGCTGGAGGTCAAAGCACATGAAAACAATAGAACACCACGCCAGTTTCTTTCCAATAAAAGGAATTTTTGATTAGTTTCAGATGACCAAGACTTGCATTGTTCATTTCAAAATGCATGGATCAATATTTACCTCCTTACTTTATTTTATAAGGTTTATTGCCCATTCAAATGAATCTGAGCACTGAACAATAAATATGATCTATGAGATTTGCTTCTGCCAGCTTAAAAATGTACAAAACAAGGCGTAATTATTTATTTATTTATAGAGCTTATATGGTCATCTATCTCATGCAAAATCTCAAACAACTTACAGAAAAAAATCACTAAAATCAGTATAAAATATATCATATGCTTCCTAATTAGACACCATAGCAACACATATTCCTAATGCTCTGATTCAACTGAGTCCACTGTCTAGAAGAAAAACTAGACCTCTATGGGTTTGGGGGGAAGGCTAAAATGGTATTCCTCTGCCTTTCCCTGGACTTAGAGTAGGAGATTCTTACAAGAGGTCAGGGTGGCTATGGAGAAGCCATGCTCTGAAAGTGGTTCAACAATTCAATGGACCATTTAAATCTCATAACAAGCCCTCCTTGTAGAGGATAGACTTGTTAAATCACATCTGAAGCATATGAGCTGGTCTGTTTTAGGATAAGAGTATTTCTTTAACATGGCCTGTTCAAAGATTGCAAAGAATTTTCTGGAGTATGAATGGCTGATTTGGGAGCAATAAAAATCCTGCACTACATAAAATGGAAAGGAAAAGAAATCCAGTTGCTTAGAGTGGGGATGGGACAACTCGCCACAGCCAACTCACTGCAGGACAACTTGCTGCAGGACAATTTAACAATTTTATTTAGTTATTTGAAATAAATAAATGTTATTTTAATTTTTGCCATTCGCATTTCATTCTGTCCCTCCTTTCGATCCTTTTTTAAATTATTCTATTCCACTATATCTTTGATATTAGTGCAACTCTTGTCCCACAGTAAGTTGTCCTACGGCAAGATGGCTGTGGTGCATTGGCCATGGCAAGTTGTCCATGGTGAATTGTCATAAACCTGCCTGGAGGCTGTGCATGCCTGCTTGTCCTCCACTGAAGAGAAGAGTGAAAATGGCAAAATTCTGGTCAATTTCATGCCTATTTATTTCAAGGCTGCAGACAAAAACTGCAGACAAGTGTAAGAAGCATTTTCCTTATTGGATCTGTACTTCAGAACCATTTTTCACACTTATTATATCATCCTCATGGTCACATGATCAAAATTCAAGTAATTGGCAACTGTTATGTTACACTCTCCCATGGTCATGTGATCACCACTTGAAATTTTCCCAAGTGGCTTCCACTAAGCAAAGTTGGGGGGAGCCAGATTTGCTTAATGACCACATATTCACTTAGCAATTGTGGTTAGAAGTGGGGCAAAAGTCAGTTAACAACTGTCTTGCTTAGTATGGGAAATTTTGGGCTCAATTGTGGTTATAAGTTGAGTTTCAAGAAAAAAAAAATCTTGCAAGAACAAAATCCATGCAAGAAAATTATGATCCATCAAAGATGAACAAACACAGGATGGGTCACTGCTAACAAACATCTTCTCCCAAAATTTCTATTTGAGGAAACTATAATATTAACTGATTCCTTGTATCTTCCTCCATTTTATGTTGTTTCTCTTGAATGCTGTTGCTGTAAGCATCTTTGGGGGGAAATCCAACAATCTGCTTTTCCACAAATGTATCACAGGAAACATTTGTTATCCATTAATTTAACTACAATCTTGCCAACAATGATGAAGACTCAAATATTGATTGAAGGATAAATAAGTATCCCATAGCACACTGTTATAATGAAGGATACGCTGATACTCATATTACTAATACTGAACAGTTATTACAGTTCCATTAAATTATAATGCTAATATCTCACATCAGAATTAAATTATTTCCTTGCCATTGATGCAAATCAATTTTATCT